AAATCTGTATATAGAAATATAGATTAGAAGCCCAGGGCTTACCCCCTGGCGGCCTTTGTCCCAATAGGGAATTGTGGGAAGCGTGCTTGTCACGACCCACGGCCGTTAAATACACACACACACACACACCTGCACCAGGTCGCTACCGTGTTAGCTCGTCCCTGGGGCCCTGAGTCTTCGAAGCTATTGAGAGAATGCAGAAGAATCGAAAACATTCGTCTTCGGTGATAAAGCTTAGCGGCATCTCGCTGGTGGATGGGATCAGCTGCAATCAGGTATGGTCACACCACATATCTCCAAAATACATTGGTGCTGTTTCTCACTATGCTAGCCACTTAAGATCTTCTAGGTCGCTTTTTTTCCAGTTGCTCTGCTTGCAAAGGCCTCACAAGGCCCAAAGTTGCAACCACTATCTTAGCTACTAGAGCCGGACGACAGCGAAGACCTATAACATAAACTTAAGTCTTCACTGCGCCGAATCCATCGAAGTGAAGCCAGATGAGTACCCTTCTGGACTCCGACTAGTCGTTATTGTCCGGTCGGTTTGGTCGCCTTTACTAGAGAAACAGCCTTCACTAGCAGACGCATTACATATCCCTTCATGATCTATATTCATAGGGCTTAAGGGAAAGCGTTTGATAAAATTCATACTAGGCATTGAACTAGAATATTATCGCATTAGTGTTGTACAAGATTTATGCAGCTATCACCTAAGGGCTTGGATCATTGACTGGCTACCGACTAACTATTCTTTTATGTGAGTTTGCAATGTAAGTGCGCCAGCCTTGATGAGTTACTCGTTGATCTACTTGGTAAAATGCCCCATTAATTGCGATCAATCTTTTTGCTTTGCTAGTAAGACCTAGTTACAATGACTCACCTCTCTTCATATCGATGCCCTAATACGATATGGTGAGGCAGCAACTTACGAGGTGACTCACTCTTTTTACCCACAAGTAATCCTGTTAATCTATGTAACAGAGAGGATGAGTCAACTGGTTAGGACCGGTCGACTCGCCAACGCCTATACCAGAGCAGGGGGCGTCATCTATGGCCGCAAGGGCATAGCAGGAGTACACCATATTGTAGCCTGAGACAAGCTAGGTTACTCTCTTCTATAATCGCGTAATAGCTAGAGAGATTATAGCTAAATGCCGCGAACTGCACGACTGGATAAATAGAGTACCCTACTACAGCTATATATAAAGCCTAGCAAACGTAGAAAGGACAGCAGCAGACAACGGCAATAAGTTGTAATATCAATCACTACTATATGTATAGATTTTGGTATGATATTTCCCCTCGTCCAGTTCCCCAGCAGTTTCATTTCAATGATGAGTATACTTTTCACTCGCCGAGATGAACGCACCATTTTGCTTAAGTTGGTGTCTTCTTATGATTAGAATTGAGGTTTCTGAGGTTTTCGATTGCATGCTGTTTCTTGACATTTCATCATATGGTTCTGAAGGATTTTACTGATAAATAAAGCTATAGCTATAACCGACAGAAACCCAGCTATAGTGGGAGGGAACTCATCAGGCCGACGTCTAAGTCTTTCTAGCTGTGAGGAGGGCGACAAACCCAGTGCCGAATCGATACCGGTAGAAAGACTTGTACTGATGGAAAACATTGAGATCTCTTATTAATAGGAAATCACTGTGTAGAAGATGAGGATACTAGATGATCTCTGAAAGGTATGCGTGGCGTACAAAGTCAACCGCAGCACCCATTACTGCTCTTAGTGATCTGTATTCCGAGAGAAGACGAATTGAATAGAGATAAAATATCTTTTAGAATTCGAATATTTGTCATTTCATGTACTGAAATGTCCCTGTATATGAATTGATGGGACGGCTCTCTCCGTCAATGGTTGATCACGTATACGTCCTCGGCGCGCGGCCATGTTGTCTCAGAGATAGTGGCAAGGGCACTATGAAGGACACTCTGGCAGCAGGGGTGAAAGTACAGTAAAACCGCATTTATGAGAGTCCCCACGAAGTATTTTGACCTAGTGCCAATCGCTGCTCCATAAATACCCTACGTTGTGCATGTAGACTACCCCCGAGACCCTATTGTAACGAGGCAGCAATTTATTTGGCTCGTCTCTAGTCTCAAGTATGAATATCTTTCAGAACCCGTACTGTTTGATATTAGTAGCCAGTGTGTGGCTTGAGTACGGCTGAGCGAACAGGCCCGTTTCCCACCCCCTGTGGTAATAGTGCTAGATGTAGTAAGGAAGGAACATCTGTTCTTCATGTCTACGCCCTAGAAGACCTATTATGCCTGTTTACTGTGCGACTGGCTTCACAAACATTGGGAATACCACGGATTCGCCGATGAGCATGTGGAGCCACTCGCACAAGCGGTAGGGCCCGTCCAGCCGCTGCCACCACACTGGCCCCATTTGGTTTGAGTAGCCCCAGCAGTCGGAGTAGTGGTGATGGTGCTCTGTTGTGAGGTCGTAGTGGTCGTGGCCGTGGTCGTGCCTGAAGACGGAGCGCCACTTTCCATCTCGAAAGAGCTAACCAGCACGCTTCCACCAAGAGATGCAGTAGCATAGTTGAAGATACCGTACCGGTAGCCCATGAAGAACTGCCAGGTATTATTCAGCGTATATGGTGTTCCAATGGAGTGGAAGCTGGAGCCATCGGTGCTATAGTAGAATGTAGCCGTCCTGCCGCTGCCGGGCTGGATGTTGGCGTATGCGCGCAGCCAGATCTTGGACGGGCTTCCGGAAAGGTTGACGCCCGCGACCTCGGAGCCTGTTGAGAGGGTGTTCCAATTGCCGTCCATTGTGAGACCCGCGACCATGCTCACGCGGAAGACGCCGCTGTTGTTGATGACGGCGACATACGCGGACGAGTCGCGGAGCATGGCGAGTCCGCTCCGGTCTCCGGGTTTCGTGTTGCTGATGGCCAGCTCGATTGTTGCTGTGGAGTCCGGGCCCAGGATCCGGTGCGTCAGGGTGTTTCGGGCTGCGTAGAGGTTGTTGGTCACAGTGGCAGCTTTCAGTGTCAGTCCGTTGTTGACGCTGTAGTAGTTAGGGTCTGGGTTGTGGTTCCATTCCCATTGAGGGCCCAATGTGCTGCCCTGGAATGTGTCTTTTCCGGTAGGGGAGGCCAGGGTACGAGGTGTCAAAGGATATGGATACTGGGTTCCCCAGCCCCCGTTTACTGTAGTCAGCACTGGGAACCCGTCAGTGCCCCAGGTAATCGGGGCGAGAACGGGGACTCTGCCTCCTGGATAGCTGTCGACAAAGGCCATGTAGTACCAGTTCCCTGCCGGGGTGTCGACAATGCCACCCTAACGTCGTTAGTTTAATGCCGTCTCTTAATTGTGGAAGAGCTACATACCTGATGGGGCACACCACCGCCGGTGATAGGCGTTGCAATGTCCTTTAAGAGTAGTTTTTGAGTGTACGGCCCCCATGGGCTGCTTGCCTTGAGAACATACTCGGCATTGGCAGGAAGAGTGTTGAAGATGTAGTATTCGCCGTTGATCTTATAGAACCGCGATCCCTCAATGGCTCCGATTGTGGACTGGAAGACCTGCTGTGCTTTCACCTGACTGAGCCCGTTGGAAGAGAGCTGGGCGACGGAGATGGTGGTCCCTCCGTACGCCACATACATTGTATCGTCATCATCGATGAGCAAGCTGCAATCGTAGTAACAGGTATTGATAACACCACTCTTTGTCCAGGGCCCTGTCACCGAAGGAGCAGTGTAGATATATGTTGTACTGAACTGGATGCACCCAATCCAGTACCACAAGCCGTTGCTCTTACGATATCTGAGGGTCGAAGCCCAGATACCTTTGACGTAGGCCTGTCCCCCGTCCAGGTTATAGATAGAGCCCCAGTCCAATGTAGGCACAGAATGTCCGACGAATTCCCAGTTGACTAGATCATACGACTGTAGAATAGGAGCACCGGGAGAGTAATGCATAGTTGATGCGGAATAGTAAAACGTATCATCCACTCGGAAGATATCGAGATCAGCCAGGTCCTCCCACAAGACCGGCTGATTGAAATTTGCGCCCAATGCGGCGGCCACAAAGAAAAATGCGGATATGATTCCTTTCATCTTGCAATGAATTTTAAGCCTGAGCTTTGGTGTTGTTAGTCACTTCATAGGTCGTCTGTCCCCATTTTATAGATCGTCGGCAGCATGTCCTGACACGACAAGAGTCTCGGGTCAGCTCCACTTGCGAATAAACCTCTATTTACCGAGATCCCTGCCATTAATTATGCATTTCGGGCTTTCTGACATCTTACTCTCGATGATCGCAGAGGTACCGATTGCAATCGCGGGGCCTGGAGCGTTGACGGAGCGATGAACTATGTCGACCGTGACAATGGAAGACCACTTGGAGGGAGTATTCATCAAATCAACAGTAATAGCAGATCATAGCAGTAAATGATCACTCTGAAGAACTTTCGGCTGAGATTTCTAGCTCATTGCCAAAATGTGGAGTTTCCGACATTCTGACGGACCGTTTTCCCGAGTAGTTCGTATCCATGCCTATCGCCTTCGCAGACCTTGAACATGCAGGAAGAACATTGCACGGCAGATAATCTTCTAGCACCTTAGCCGAATTAATCTCGACCTAATCTACTGAAAACAATAAGCAATGCCTGACCCCTCATCTCTGAGTCTGGGGAAAAGAATGGACCCTGGGTACAAAGATTCCAATCAGCTCCTCCGATTAAACCAGGTGATTGACATCTTCAGCCCAATGTAGCTTCGGACCCTGCAGGTCTGCTTGTGATCTCGCCAGAATAAGTCTGCTAAGACGCTGACTCCGTATAGAATAGAGAAAGGGCTATACTCCGCTTGTAATGCTAACTGCTTAAACTCAGAACCTACCGGATTGTTGCAGCTACCGCAGCCCTAGTCTTGCGTCTGCACCCCATAGCAGAAGGGCATATGCATCAAGGGTGAGTGATGTAGCTTGGCTATCCACGTTGAGCCAAGAACTTAGTTCGTAGAGATTGTCGAAGAGGACTCAGACTCCCCCGCAAGATGCGACCCCCGCGCATGCTTAGCGGAGTACACCTCAAATGCCGCTCGGGATTGACCATTCAGATTGAGATATCCTCTGGCAAGGCTGCTAACTGAAGATTGCGGGGTCCTCAAGGGCAAATCATTGCTGAGGAGCTGGTTGATTGACAGTGTGTTGATTTTAGCCAAAATACCCCTACCGTGATATTCGGTTGTCGGCTAATATCCAGTCCTCTGCAGCATCCCAAAGTACCCAAAACCGAGACATTATAGATTAATATGGTTCAAAGCGTTGCATTGATTCAGCCATTCTCCGGTGGAGTGCATCTTCTTGCTTCCATGTTGTCGGCATCTGTTCATCGCGCCTATGCCGAAGGAGGCTTTTTGGTGCTTTAAGATGGGCCATCATTGTCGATCCTTCACTCTTACGCATCGGGGAGTATGATTAGTAGAGCAAGGTCTCAAGTTGATTATAGGTTTCACTGCATCGATAGGATCTCGCGATGAGAGCTTTAGGGGTCACACTCCTCGGACTGGCACTGGCCGTCCAGGCTCAGCAACCGCTGTATGCCCAATGTACGTCGATATTACTCTCCTAATCAAGGCTTTGAAGCATCACTAACTTCAACATGAGGCGGTGGAATTGGTTGGACGGGCTCGACTCAATGCGTCGCTGGTGCATGCTGCAGCTCTCAGAACGCCTGGTACTATCAATGTCTCTCTGGCAACTGCATGCCCAGCACGACTATGACCACAACCACCGCTACGCGCACCACGTCGATAACAACAACCTCGACGAGCACTTCCAGCGCTACTGGAAGCCTGCCTACCAGTTTCAAGTGGAGCTCGACCGATGCGCTTGTTGGTCCCAAGAACGACGGCCGCAACATTGCGGGAATCAAGGACCCCTCTATCATAGAGGTTGACGGCACATACCATGTTTTCGCAAGCACGGCCCAAGCATCAGGCTACAATCTAGTGTACTTTAATTTCACGGACTTTAGTCAAGCGGGTAATGCTCCCTTCTTCTATCTCGACCAGAGTGGGATTGGGACAGGCTACCGCGCCGCGCCACAGGTCTTCTACTTTGAACCGCAGCAGCTGTGGTACCTGGTCTATCAGAATGGAAACGCGGCCTACTCCACCAACAAGGACATTAGCAATCCTGCTGGGTGGAGTGCCCCCAAGAACTTCTTCAGCAGTGTTCCTAGTATCATCACTCAGAATATCGGCAACGGCTACTGGGTGGATATGTGGGTTATCTGCAACGCATCTAATTGCTTCCTCTTCTCTTCTGATGATAACGGTCACCTCTACCGTTCACAGACCTTTCTGAGCAGTTTTCCCAACGGCATGGGCAACACGGTTATTGCGCTCTCTGACTCCAATGCATACAACCTCTTCGAAGCTTCGAATGTATACCACGTCGGAAATGAGTATCTTCTCATCGTTGAAGCCATCGGCAGTGATGGGTACCGGTACTTCCGGTCATGGACTGCGCCGTCTCTCACGGGTACCTGGACCGGGCTTGCAAACACCGAAGCCAACCCATTTGCCCGCTCTAATAATGTGGTCTTCTCCGGGAGTGCCTGGACCAAGAGCATCAGCCATGGCGAGATGGTGCGCTCCCAGGTGGACCAGACTATGACTATCAGCCCGTGCAAGCTCCGCTACCTCTACCAAGGTCTGAATCCGACGGCGACAGGTGATTACAACGCGTTGCCGTGGAAACTAGGTCTCCTTACGCAGACCAATTCGGCTTGTTAGTTTGGATGTCAGGGATACGTAGGCAGTTGTTTGGTCATACTTGCGCAAGGATCAATGGAGCAGTGACGATAGTGACAGTGAATCTCATAAATTCTGTGTCGTCCTGTAATTATTACTGTGTAGCTGTCAGAGCCCTGGTGATTGGAGTGAGAACGGGCTCTGCCTCTGGGATAGCCGTTGGCAAAGATTATGTACATAGTAGGTCTTATAGTCCCTAAACTACGTATATTTCTGTTAAGCGAGTAGATTGATATGATAATTAAGAACTACTTAACCAAATCTATTAGCTGAAACCTAAGAGGAGCTCGATAGGATCTCGCATTCTTGAGAGAGCATAAAATAGAGCCTTAAAGGTCTGCTGAAAGTAAAAGCCAATATTTCAGGAGAACCCCGTCTATGTGGATGGAAACGGATTCGCGTACACAGAGAGCGCTTCGCTGTCGGTTTCTAAGTCAAAGGTACTAGCCTCAACAGACACAATTACTCGCAAGATCCGTCGTCGTACATCTGCCGGGGTCAATCAGTTTAGTGGCTGGGAACGAATGGAGGACTCGTCAGCTAGACCTGGTTCCGATCAAGGGTGGAAGATCATGAAGACTGTGCGGCTTGACATTCAGGATGAACCTATAGAGCTTGCGAATCGCAAGGAGCCTCTCAGCGCGGCGGTGCCAACGGATAGATAGGCCATGATGCATAATGGATTATCAAGCTGTGTTACCTATAGGTTAATGTCACTGTCATCTAAAGCTTATATGCTGATCATTCCAGTCCAAGGCTTCACTGGCTTAAGATTCAAATATAGAACAAAATTAGAAACAGACAAGATATATTAGTCAGTGTGCCCGAGTGGTTAAGGGGAGTGATTAGAAATCACTTGGCTTCGGCCGCATAGGTTCGAGTCCTATCGCTGACGGATCTTTTTTTTTCAACTTTTGTCAAGTTAGCTGACCATAACCCTAACCCTACGCTATGGATATTTTTTGAAAGTTTTCTGGAAATGGCAATGGGCTGCTCTCAATAAACAACTCAAATCATGCCTAGAGAAAAGACGGTCCAACGCCCTCTTATAGGATAAACATATTGCAGCCCACCTGATCGCTGGGTAAATAGCTAGATTGTCCTATTTTGGCCTGCATACCCCTTAGAATCTAGGTTCGGGATCGAATGGCTCCATCCCACCGGGTGAACAGTGAAGACCGTGAAGTACCGGGCAGTGGCCGGTAAACTGGAGGCCTCCGTCGCTGGTATATCTCGACAGTTTCCACAGAGAATGGAATCACCTTTCAAGCAAATTGGACTATATACTCTGCCCGTGCAGAATGCAGCTCATAGTAAACATTCTCCGGATCCTGTCCATTGCGGCTCTGGCAAGCCCGTCGGCTGCAAGTCCTTGTCCGCAAGATTCGCCTACAGCCAGAACAGAAAACGGAACACTGTGCGGCATGCGTCTGCCTTCAATCATTCAAAATGCGTTTCTGGGGGGTTCCATTCGCTCAGCCGCCGGTCAATGACCTCCGCCTACGGCATCCTGTTCCCTACAATAAGCGATACAAAGCGTACCCTGCGACATCGCAGCCTGCCAATTGCCCTGGATACGCCGGGTTCGACGTCGGTATTGGTCGGTTGAGTGGGGACTGCCTCTACCTCAATGTCGTTGTGCCTGACAATGCTTCCTTGCATGGGCGGTTGCCTGTGTTGGTTTGGTGGGTTGATTCCTTTCCGAGCTGGGATACTGACCTGGGACAGGATCTACGGCGGCGGCGTCGCCGATCCCAGATACAACATGCCCTATATTGTGCAGCAGTCTGCGACAATCGGCAAACCCCTCATCTTTGTGTTTAACAATCCCTCTAGGAATCTGTCCAACTATATAGGATCGTATCCTTCCTATCATGAGCTGTCAGAGTTCATGTCTCGGTCTTGGGTCTCTTTTGTGCATGATCTGGATCCGAACGGGCACGCGGTGGACGGTGCACCATATTGGCCACAATATGAACAGTCACAACCGCAGAATATCGTCTTTCGCACTGTGGACGACTTCAATTGGAAGGGGAGCTATAGAATGGATCAGCTCAAATGGTGGAATGCGCACTGGTCTACTTTGAGATCTTGATTTTCCATCCTGTTCTGTGCAGATCAATCAATGGAAACAGGATATTCAAGTCGTAAAGGCGACATCAATACCATTGCTCCACTATTCCTAGTGGACTAGCTCAGGCTAAGCAACAGGCTAGTAAAGACGCCATGACGTTGCCATGCGCACGAGGATAGCGCTGATCTGCAGACTGACGATGTGGCTGATGGAGCGAATATCCAGCGGATCAAATAGACGAGTCCATTTCCTTCAGCACGTGGACTATCTCTAGGTTTTACTTGGTCAATCAATCACGCATATCTTAGACGCAGAAGCTTACGCGTCAGGCACAGTGTGCGACTCAATCACTCTATATAAAGTACACTACCCCCATCTTGTTTTCGGGCAGTACCAACACTCTCGCCCACACTCAGATCCTGTAAACAAGATGACGATCCCAAAGTACGGCGTCTGGGCCGCCCAACCAACCCACTACACGGCCGAGACCGAAAAACAAGACCCCAAGTCCCCGCACATCTACCTCTACTTCAAAGACGACACCAGCAGCAAACAGCACCAGGCCGCCATCAACGTCAAATCCACCGACAAGGATACCCGCCTCGTCTTCTGGCTGAACCGCAACTTCTCCCACCCAATCACCCAGGACCTGTCCTCCCTCGATGAAGGGTTCACGCTCCTCAGCAGCAACAGCAACAGCAACAGCACCGAGCTGGAAGGACTGGACTACATCCGCACCGAAGGCCTCGTCGACATCAACGCAGGCAAGGTCCTCCCGCACGATATCCCCGGCCCGAACAACGACATCTTGGACTCCCTCGATCCGATCCTCTCTGGTGCGATTGCCCAAAAGGCGCGGGTGTATATCTTCGGCTCGTCGTATGGCACGGGGATCCACGACGTGCATATGAATCAGGGGAGTCTGCCGCAGTTTGAGAACGGGGTGTATGAGGATGGGGCGTTGCTGTTTGAGTTTGGGGATGGGCATTGGGAGGCTGTCTTTTTGGCGTTTGCGTCGCAGAGGATCCCGACGGATCAGAGGGGAGAGGCGGAGAAGGGTAGTAAAGAGTTGGCGGAGATATTGGGGGAATAGGCCTTTTCGTTTCTGTGTGAATTCTGTAGTTGAGAATGGATCATGGATTGAAGTATTATGTTAGTGTACGTGGTATCTCTCCTCTCGCGTTCGTCTTACTCATGCTCGGGTACATCCAGGCCAGCCTGAGTCACAGCTATAAGCCAACGCAAAAGCTGCCATCATTTCCCTGCCAGCACCGCCCGTGACACGGCAAGAAAGCCGACGTTGATGACGACCGGGATGTCTGGAGGTGAAATGCACGGCAGACAGGTTTCCGTGCCTCCTCCGCCTGCTGAGCTGTTGGCTCGACTTATCCATCTGTCGAGTTGTTCAAGGCTGGTTCAGAGGATTCCGGTTCAGCGGATTTCCAACAACCGCGAGCGACGGGCCAGACGCTGAGAGCCCTCGCGATACTCAAATAGCGGAGATTCTGCGCAACGCTCAAGAAGTTCGAGTAATGATGAACTCTTAGGCACTCACGAGCCCGCCTTGGTCGTCGAGACCTCAAACGTCCGATGTACGCCAATCTTAGACGCAGACAGCACAGGCACCGAGTGCGACTTTCCGTTCAGGTGCTCCGTGCTTGAGGTCGTGAGATCCGAGGCTTCGTTTCTCTCTGCCGTCGAGACCGTAGTTCCAAGGTGCACGTCCTTGGGGTTGTTCTTGCTGCAGTCGTGGCGGGAGAGCGAGGTGCCGTTCACGTTGCTTTCAAAGTCACCGAGGGGGTACTGGTGCTGGCGTTTCCTGCCCTGGGGGCCGGAGGAGTCGAAGATGCGGTAGGAAGATCCAGTGCGGCTGTGGAGGATGCGGAAGAGAGGACGTACGGTGGCGAGGCTGCCGGCTGTGATGGCAAGGCCGGTTTCGATGTTGGACCAGATTGCGATCTGCATTGTTAGTATTCTCGGAAATAACTGATATGCGATAGCTCACCTGGACGGTTGCATCTATATCCAGTCAGAGAATGGTCAGAAATGTGATAGATTTGCGGATGACTTACATAGGAAATCTTCATTGCGAATGGTCTGAACGAAAGGAATCCGGATTATAATGGCAACACTCGCGCTAGATAATGGATTAATATTCATCTCGGAAAGGCAACAGGCAGACGTACATGCATGCCATGCCCAGGAGACCCGCAACAGCGACCTTGGTCTGCTTGTTCATCTGCAGATTGCGCACGAGCAAGATAGGCAACAGGCCAACAGTCAGGTCGAAAAGCGCAGAAACCACACTGAAGATGTACAGCATGATGATGATCGCGTCCACATATCCGCATCTGCCGGGGGTGTCGCCGCGCATCCGCGTCCAGAAATAGGACACCGGCGAGCATTGGACTATGATGAGGATGAAAAAGACGATGCCAACAAGGACTGTGAGGACAGTGACTGCGTACATGATCCGCCTGTGAGATGGAAGAACCATGACACGCAGCAAGAAGATGGCGACAGATATCTTGCAGAGAATGGACGAGACGGCGTAGCCAATGTCGCAGAGGAACCAGTACTGGAGACGTCAGTCGGGTGTTGAGCCATTAAGAACGGTACAAACCTCCATAGCGACTGTTCTCTGCTTGGGAGTCAGATCGACGAGATGCTTTCCTGTTCCCCAGAAGGCGCCTCCGATCATACACTCGGAGAACATGACATAGAATAGCTGAAGAAAGTCAGCATTGACTATTGCAGGCGCAGAGCGAGGATACCATAGACAAGATCATGACAGTATCATCCCAGCCAAACGCCTTGACAATGCGCAAGCGCATATAGCATCGCAGGACGACCGCAATGCTGGCCACTGCCAGAAAAGTGGCCGCCACCCCACGGACCGCGGCACTTTCGTCCACCATGACGCTGCTGCAACCGGTGATTGAAGTGAAAGTGCGCGCAATCCCCAAGCGGAATGGAATTGTCGACCATACAAAGTCAACTACAGGGAAGGTCGCTTTTTGAATACTAGGACTCGAGCTCCGTGGTGATGGGAGTATTTAGGTTTTTGCACGGATTATGACAAGACAATACTTTCTGTGGAAGGCCTGAACATCGTATCATGTTCTAAATTTGACTATTTTTCGGGTCGCCACCGACAGACGTTTGCATGGCGTCGTTAACTCGTCGTCGGTATACCACAGTCGAGGGAACCCAGCGTAGATGCTTTGCATCCATCTCTCCACCTTCCTTGTCGACCGTCTATTCTGTGCACGATACACTGATCACACTCACTACTCGTCTGTAGAAAAATCTTTTCTAGAGAATTTGAAAAAGCAGACTGTCTGTTTGAGTGTTCTGTGCTGAAGGTGACTAAAGTGGGCCACTATCAGAAACTTCCCACGGTTAAGCCCTGGATCTATATTTTACGTCCACTTTTCCGATCTCGATCCGCAAAAAGTCCTGAATCAGGAACTGTACCCATGGCCAATGATGTCTTGGCTCTTAAGCTTCTGCGACAACCGCTTTGATGTGCGAACCATGGATCTGTGTCTCTTCTCGGCTGTGGAATCCTGCAGTCCTGAGAATTGGCTGTTCTCCTTTTCTGCTACCAATGAAATCATCGTGTGTAAAAGAACAGGATAACATTGTCACGAGAGTATCAGATGAGTCGATCCATGGTCCGCAATCTTGTACAATTTCAGGCAAAACCTCGGTAAACCCTTCCATCAGATAAGATCAGAGACATGAAATCCCAACTATACAGCATCCCTCAGTCCTGCAAGATCGCAACTCTTTTCATTTGAGGTTGAGCTGCGAATACTAGTTTTCTGGTCCTGTTGATTTACTTTAATACAACTTGACTGATTCATTCCAAAGCGAGTTGTTCATGAGGAAACCAAAGAATATAATCTGACTCCACCATATGACCAGGGAACCCGAGTCGCAAAGTGTAGCCAAACCTCATAATGAGCCGGTTAGGGACTTGAAACAATCCTATCTCTCCAGGATTATCCAGACTCTTTCCTCTTCTAGGTGACAGCCTCTTGAAACACTTCAGGAACAGTTGTGGACCCTTACTAAGGCTTAGCTAGGTGGATAAGTAGACAAGGGACCTGCCAATGAGCTGTGGGGTCTATATATACCTGAACATAACTATCTGAACTTTGTAACGTAATCAACCACCGAGCGACGAATACCACCGAGCGACGAATTTTTGCCGCTTCTAATAATATTTTGAAGCTTTTCAACCACCAACATCATTAGACTTGACTATCTAGTAGCTGAATATATAG